AAAGCTTGGATTCGACAGATGACGCTATAGCCAGACACGCTCTCACACGGTACCTAAAACACCTACACGGCTCATATACATGCCGGTACACATACACACACGCACGCACGCACGCACTCACACACATATACCTACCACTACCTCTGCCTCTTACCTACTTCTACACCTACGCACCCTTGGCCGGCACTGGCACCTTCCATCTGCCCAACCCGCCCTCGTCCCGTCTTTCACCTCCACCTCAAATCACCTCGACACCCAGGGATCTGAGCTATCTTTACAATCAAGATAGCCGCAATCTACCTTACCGCATACCTCATTACGAGCAGACCAGCTCTACTCGTACAACGTACCCCTGCGCATTCCATACCTAAAATCAGGCGAGATTCCATCCGATATCAGGACCTCCTCCCGATAACCCACCTGGCCGTGGATCCCTTCGTCTCATCTCCTCCTTCCGCGACGACTCTTCACATCTTTTTTCTTTTTTTACAGCAACAGCCTTCAGCCTTGCCAACCACCTGCGCGCCACCCAGTCCAGGCAAACATCATCGTCATCACTTCCAGAACTTGCGGGTTTCACCTCAAATCCCACAACCTTTCAGCCTCCCTCCCTTCTTCACGACACGGCCGTATATACTCGCTAGACCCCACGCTGGCGGCGTTGTTTTCGACCCCTAGCGCCTAAAAAGCTGCGTGAACGGACCCTTCACGCCAGCTTCTCTCGAGCATCTCGCGATCCCTAACCGACCTCTGATGCCCGTTGAAGCCAGATAACCCTTGCTGGCCTCCGCTCGAGGCCAATCAGTCGCCTGGATAATAGGCTTTGGAATCGTAATTCCTCAAACCCGTCATCGTGCCCCCATCCACCACCATCACCGCGATGGCAAAGAGTCTCCCCGACATGGTGGAGCTGATATCGCCTCCCTCGGCCGTGAAGAGCCCGGATTCGGATGTGTCACCTAGGACCCAGAACCCTTCGAAGCCCAAGGACTATTTCTCGCCGCAACTAAAGGTCCATTCCAGCGACTCCGAGAACACGACCCCCGCGGTCGATTACCGAGCAGCAACCACTTCTCCCACCAGCGGGACCAGCGCCTCGAGGCGTGTCAGCATTGCCTCTCCTCTTTCCCTGGCCGATAGCTTTCAGGATGAGTCTCGGCGGACGTCACAGAGCGGCGGAAGCAGTAGCGACCGCCCTCCTGTCGGATCTAGAAAATCCTCCACCGTCTCCATATCCTTCCAGGCTCCGCGCCATCCTTCACTTCCGCAGGGCAAGCCCCGAAAAACCGACAACAGACGGCTGCGAGCGTCATCGCCTTCCCCCGTGAGGTAAGTCCTCTTTCTGCGAGAGTTGTTTGCTTTCCGACCTTTCTCACGTCCAATACCGTACCATATAAACCCATCTGCATCACCCGCCCCGCCCAAACCCGTTCGATGTGCGGCCCCAGTGGTGCCTTTTTCAAACGGGGATAGCCTGTGCTTGACTCGTTCTCCATCCCTGGCGTGACTTTAAGCTTTTTTTCTCCCCACGGTCCGTCACCGGAAAGCTTGCTCCATGGCCTCCCCCATTTCGCGGACCCAGTAGTCAAGGCCATCTCCCCTTTCGACGATGGCCAATCGGCCCTCCAGTTGGCTGTGCTTCGCAAAGAGTCATTTGTTGTAGCATCACTGGATGATGTCACAAACGCAACAAAGCGAACCCAACAGGCGCAGTCTCATGCAGTTGACATGTTGCGCCGCATTGAGGATCGTCGTCTTGTTTGCGTGGAAGGGCTGGGGGAAGCAGACGTCGTCGAATCATGACGATTGTGGTGCCATTGGAGAGCGCGGACAGTTGCGGGATTACATCAACAGCCTGGCCGGACAATTGAGCAGTGCACTGGCTGACAAGCCTCGATCGAGTCCGTTCTCTCGCGGGAACTGGACCCGCATCACGCCAAAAGCTCAGGCTCAGGCCCGGCGTCGTTCTGGCCTCATCCCTCCATCAGAAGACCCCATTCGCCAGCGGTCCGCTTAGCTTACAACCCTGCTACCCCACCGGGCTCTGCTCAGGCGCCGGTCGCGGTTACCGTTTCCAGCACCTCTACGGGTGCCAAGGGGCGGCCAAGGGGGCTTCTCCGTAACCCCTCTTCTGGGCTTTTTCTGGGGAGCTCTGGGCCGGGCGATGGGCGGTGTTTCGTGGGAATTTTGCGCTCATGCAGCGCTTTGGTGGGGGATGACGGGCAAGTCGAGACCCTTCAAATCTGCACATCCACATGCGCATCCTGTCATGATGCTCTGTTCCCCTTTCTATCGTTCATGCAATGCTCCCGGCATCTTTTTCTTCTTCTTTGAACCTCTCGACAAGTTCGGGATTTGTTTACCAGGGGCACAGGAACAATCTGCTACATTGCTCATCTGCAGTCCTTACTCCTTCTCGGCATCTTTTCATGCCATCACGCACAATCTGCTTCTAATTTCACTTCTGCAATACATCCTGTCCTTTTAGACACTTCACCTTGCCGCCTGCAGAGTCGCCGTCAATTTTGGTGTCATGTCATCGCTAACAAACAACTCCAATGCGGCTCCCAGGTTCCGACAGCACGTTGGTTTTGACAACTTACCCGCCGGCGATTCGACCAAGAACAACACGTCCTCCTTTACACTCCATGTGAAACATCAGGGGTACCAGCCATCTCGAAGGTCTCGTACCTTTATGGTGGGTGTGGACGAGCACGCCTATTCCGATTATGCGCTGGTCTGGCTGCTAAACAACATGGTCGACGATGGAGACCAGGTAGTATGTGTTCGCGTCATTGAGAATCCCATCCGCCCAGGGGAGAAGTCGTACCAGGAGGATGCGAAGAAGCTGTTGCAAACCATTCAATCCAAGAACGAGCAGAATAGGGCTATCAGCATTATCCTCGAGTGGGCCGTTGGAAAATTGCATTCTACTTTCCAGAAATTGGTACGTTTTCTTTCTGACCACTGCCCCAACCCGTCTTTTCTTTACTGACAGACGAGCATAAATGTAGCTTCATCTCCACCAACCCTCGATGCTTGTTGTCGGCACAAAGGGCAGGTCTCTCGGCGGAATCCAGGGCCTGATGAACACGCGTAACTCGTTCTCGAAATACTGCCTTCAGTACAGCCCTGTCCCCGTGGTCGTTGTTCGGCCAGACGACAAGCGACTCAAAAAGAAGGAAAAACGTATCCACGATCCGAGCCGACAGAGCTATGCTGCCATGCTGGCATACAACGACGGAAAACACGAGGCCGATAGTGACGCAAGCAGTCTTTACGAGATGGAAAAGAACATTTCTCCGGACGAGGAGGCGCACCGAGTGGCTGCCGCGATTGGGCTTCCAGCAGCGTTCGATCCGACCATCAAACCGTACGAGCCTAACAAGCCTCGCTACCGACGAACATCTCCGCCCTCCGCTCCTTCTCCCACGGCAGCTGGACCGAGCTCCGTTTCTCCGTCGCGGACGACGCAAGCGAACGAAAGTGGCGACGAAGATACGGGCGAGGAGGAAGATGAGTACGAGATTGAGGCGGTTTCGGGCGACCAGTTGCTAGCAGCAGATGGAAGGACGAAATTGGCACTTGAAAGAGAGCAAAAGAAGCGACTCCACGCTATGGAAGTAGGAGAAGCGGCTGCCTTGCTCAAGTCGGGGCAGTCAGGGAAATCAAAGGATTCGGACGATGAGGATGAGGAGGACGATACCCAGGGGCGAACGAGCGACAAAACCAGACCATGAGATCTGGCTATTCGAGCTGCGAAGGAAGCTACAGAGCATAACTGAGATACGAACAGGGGAGCATCTTCCCAGATGACACCCGCCCAGTTTGCAGCGGTGCTAGTTTTTGACCACGGGATTCTTTTTTTGGCGCCTGCCATACGTTCAGCATAAATCAGCCAGTATTGTTATCAAGGGCCCTGAAGGTGCTCAGGTGGCCCACTTCAGGGACGGTTACAACAACAGTGAGCTCGTGAAACTCTCCTCTTTGCTATACCGGAGTAGATATTAGGGGTCAGAGATGTGTTCCTAGACTGCATGGAGCCTGGAGTATTAAGGAAAACGACAGCGTCGGACTCTCGACCTGCCATTGTTTTGGACCTGGCCGGTGTCTTTGGGATCTCAAGTAGTGGTAATGGGCATAGGCCATAAAGGTTTTACCGAGTAATCACCGTCATAGCCAAATAAATCTCCACACAATATCTATCACTTTCTCCCTGCTTTTACAAAAAGTTCTCTTTTACTCTCTTCCTGCGATGATCTTCCAACATGAAACAAGAGAAATGCTATGGTAAATGCCCAGATCTGATCTTGATGTGGGGGCACACTGCTCGTGGAGAGATTCCAATTGCCGTTTAACGGTGGGGATGTGGGGGAAAGATACAAGCTGTAGTGTATGGAGATAAGCGGCGCGTTTTGCAGGCGTGCAAAGAACCACAAATAGGGGGTGCACCCCTCTGTCTCATTTTGAAGCCGGGGAAAACTGGGGTCGGGTGGTGCCTGGTTGCGTTTTAGCGCATGTACCTTACGTTTTCTGTAGGCAAGTCGTCATCTACCTAGTGTATAGATCCCATTTTAAACGTCACAAGTCAGCAACCACCTCACCATACACACTTCCTTCCGCACATCGTTGACCTATCTCCATATCGACCAACCTCAACACAGCTGAGGCAACTGCTTATCCGAATCCTCCAGAAGAGTAGCCGAGACTCGAGAGACCGTCAAAACACCTATTTCAACTCCAACCTGGACCTCGACGACTAAATTGCAAAACAAGCTGAAACACAAACACACGATGCCGACCGAGCCTGGCATCGACCTCTGGATCCGCGTTGCGACTACGGCTACTTTCTCATAAAGACATTCGAGATAACCATCTGGTGGGCGAAAGAGAGGAGGAAGAAGGATAAAGAGAGGCCAAGTTTGCGGTAAAGCGCCCAACAACATTTTGACGTTTACCATCCCGAATATCACCACCTATACATACCGACCGCAGTTCCAATGCCCTGCGGCGTCGACTCGTGCGGTGCGCCCATTCCGGCCTCGCCCATCGGCACCCTATTCTCGCTTTCACCATTTATCGCAACCTTTGTCATTGTCAGCTCGGTTATCGGCGGCAAGGTATTCCCGAAGCTCTCCCGCGTACAAGACGACCGTGACGATGGCGAAGGCCACTACCTGCCTCCTTCAGCGCCTCCGAGTCTCCAACAAGCGCACGCCGAGCGCGGAGCCCGATCGATGCGCCGCCGAGTAGCCGCCATGACGTTCTCCGCAACAATAGGCCTGGCCGCCGTGCTTGGGGAGCTCATCCTGGCCGAGATCTCGGACCTCGTCAGTCCCGAAGCCCGCGCCCTAGCATTGCGGTTCACGGTGCCAACGCTTCTCTTCATGCTCGTAGTTCTCATACCGTTCCTCGAGCTCCAGTCTGTCGTGTCTAGCCTGGCCACCTTCCAGCGCACAGCCAAGGGGCGTGTCCCACGAATCGCATGGACGTTGCAACTCCTCGGCTTCGGCGGCTGGCTCTTCGTTTTCTGGTCTCTAGGCAAAGCGGTGCCCCGGCCCGACGGGACCGAGTACCTGTGGGGGATAGCCAGCAGTGACGGGGCCGGGTTCGACAGCACCGCGCTGACTATTGGCCGGGCCGAGGCCAAAGCCGAATCGGTAGGCGACGTTCTCGTAGGCGGCAGGCTCTCGCGCGCGTGCCTTGAGCGAATCGGCGTCATTGGCATTCTGCTCATGGCTTTGCTTTCCGGCTTCGCCAGCGTCTCGAGCCCCTGGCACACCTTTGCCGACAACCGGGCCTTTCGCAAGCGGCCCATTACCGACACAGACATTGCCCGCAAGCAAGCTGGGCTGGACGCCACGAGTGAGATGTTAGCCACCAAGCGACATCGTCTGCGCTCTCTCCAGGACAAGGTCGCCAGACGAGCAGAAGCTTCAGCTGCTTCCAGCCATCACAACAACGCTGGAAGTAACGGCAGCAGTCTAGTTGGCAAAATGCTCGGCTCCCTCAAGGGCATAGCCACCGGCTCCTCAGCAGAAGCAGCCGAGATCAAGTCCCTACAAATGGAAATCTCCGGGCTCGAAACAATGGAATCCAACCTCTCCTCCTCGCTCTCCATCCTCCGCACGCGGCAAGCCGCCCACGCCCGTGACGGCACTCCTCTCGGCCGTCTCCTGTCACTGCCATCCTACATCTTCAGCCTCTACTGCATCTACCGCGTGCTCGCCACCACCTTGACCACCCTCCGCCGAAACAACTTCTCCCTTTTCTCCCTCCTTTTCTTCTCATCATCATCCACCAACCCTTCAGAATCTACCACTAGTGGTAGCACATTCTCCTCCACCGACCCGATAAACCGCTTCCTCTCCCTCCTGGCAAAACACTGGGACCCGAAACTAGACCAAGTAGCCTGGGCGCGCCAAATCTCCTTTTTCTTGTCAGGGGTCATCCTGCTCGGGTCAGCCAACTCCGTCATCGTCACCTTCCGCATCTTCGCCAAGTGGATGCCCGGTCTGCTGTACCAAGCGCAAGCCAACCTGGCGCTGCTGACGGCTCAGATCGCGGCCACGTACGTGATCAGTTCGGCGCTGTTGCTCAGGAGTAATTTGCCGAGGGAGGTGGGGAGGTCGGTGGGGGATGCCCTGGAGAGCGCGTTGGAGCCCGGGTTCGTGGATCGCTGGTTTGAGGGGTGGTTTTTGGTGGCCAGCGGACTGACGGCGTTAGGGATTTGGGTGGGGAGGAAGATGGGAGCGGGCACGTATAATTCTCCCGGGGGGTCAGGCGGCTGGTCGGGGCTGGATGAGTGGGAGGAGTTTGGCGGGGAGGAGATGGGTGTTGGTGCCAAGAGGTCATGATTTCATGATTATAATAACGTGATGAAATGTGATAGGTATGGTTCTTCTAATGTTATGTCTCGGGCGATGGTGGCGTATAAAAAACAATATTGTTGGGTCATCGGGTGGCGTTGGAAGAGTGAGTTAATTCTTGTTATAATGTTTATTTTGGCTGGTTTTTCTGATGGAGTGTTGTTATTATACATTCTCTTCCATTTAGTGTATACTACCCGATATCCCTTGACATGTCGACTATCAGGTATTGGTTCATGAGACACGCTGACTCATCAACCTCGAGAACACTGTTAACTTGTGTATACCTCAAGTCATTACCATATCACTCGCATGTGCAGAGCAATAATACATGGGCCCTACCGCGAAAATTTCCGCTGCATGTCAAAGGCGCCAGGTGCTACTTTTTGAGGCCTACTTCGCACGAACAATTTGTTCATTTTTCAGGATATATTAGGAAGAGATGCCCTCCTTGCTCTCTCGATTCTTCACTTGGTACAATCCACTCACATCCCATAACCTCAGAACATACACAACGTGGTCAACATTACACATTATCATCAGCTTAGATACCATCTAATGCTTCTAGCTTCCAGCTCGAATGTGAACCGATACCCATCCCCGCAACACTAGCCCGTATTTAAAACCACAGATACAACGCTCCTAGAAAAAGAGTGCCGACGGCAGTCCCAAATGCCGATATGGAGAGCTTTTGCTGACCACTTCGAACATTAGCAGGAAGGTCAAAAGGGCTCCCACCACCACCCCTTATAGGACGATTTCCGACAATGGTCTGGACCGAGCTGGTAGTTGCGCCGCTTATAGTGTCACTTGTCTGAAGGGTCAATCCTAGGGTTGTTGAAAGTGACATAGTCGTTGTTGAAGAGGGCTCTGACTCTGAGGTGACGGTCTGTTCAGGGGCAATGGGCGGTTTGCCGCCCTCCGAGGGCATGAGGCTTTCAGACATTGTCGACTCGGTGGGCATCTCGGTTGTCGAAGTCCTCATGGTAAGTGTCGGCCAAGCCTTGGCTGTGGTTGTCCCCTCCGGCTGAACCGAGGTGAGTGTCAATGTTGTGCCCTCGGATATGAAAGGGGTGGGTATGGTCTGGGGCTCGTCCGGGCACAAGTTGTCAAGCAATTGGTCTCCCAGTGCCAGTGCGAGAAGCGAGTCTGCCGGAGCGGTGTCATCGGGACATGAGAGCTGGAGAATAGCCTCAATCCGGAGGATGCCTGACGCACAGTTTCTTGAGCACTTGACGCCACTAAAGTCGTCCTTGCTACAGCCTTGAATTGGTATTCTGTAGGTAAGAAGGCAGTTGCGAGAGATTGACAGGGAGGTGATGGGTTGGATGTCGTCGAGTGATATGGAGGCAGAGGCCGTTATGGCCATGATAAACAGCGCAAGCCACTGCAAAATCTTAGCAGCCCGCGGGTTCTCCATTGGTGACAGTGTTTTGTGATGATAGTTTCGGGTTGGTTGTTGTGACTGTGTGGATGAATCGGTAGGGGGTAACGGTAAATGGATCGAGCAATCGCGATTGTCAAGTTGTCGGGGTTGCTTCTTCGATTAGAGATTGCACGCCGACGAAAGACGCCGGTGTTGGCGTCTGAGGGCTTGGTGATGCGGAAGTACGAGTTGGGTGGGAGGATGCGATGGGTTCCTAGCTACATTTTGCCAATATGTTAGTACTCTCGAGTAATTGTCCCCGTCTCTGACCATAGCCGCACATGGAAGCCCGCAGAAGGATCAATTCACCTGTCTGGATGTCCTTCCTTTTCGTTTCTGATTTTTCCCGTCCAATGTCGTGGGGAGAGAGAGTCGTCACCGAGTGGTGTCTCGCCGCGATACCCGATACTTGAGCCACGGAGGAATAACCGGTGGTCTTTTGTCGCGTCAAGTGTGCTCGTCAAAACTCCGAGCGCGAACGAGCCTGTAGACTCAGGTGGTGTGATTGCGAGACCAATGCGGCGAGGTCATACGCGGGATAGGAAAGAAGGCGATTGAGTTCAGGTTGAACAAACCGACGAAGATTCACGAAAGGCCTGGGCAATTCCCATGACGGCATGCGTTTCAAGGGGACCACAGAATTTTGAAAAGGTGAGAAGTAGCGGAGTGGGGAAGGAGGACAGCAGAAGAAAAGAAAGCGCAAACGGAAGGTGCGAGAAATGAGACGGCAGGTGCTTTGATCTCGACTTGAATTCGTTTCACAAAACCTGACACTAGATGCCCAACTAGCAAAAAGAGATGGAAAGACCATTGGGACTCGAGGAGCATATTCTCCTCCTGTGCACTCACGGGGGCCTCTCGAACTATGAGCATTACCATTAGCCATTTGGAATCTTCAGCTACCTAGGAAGGGGGTATACCACTGGGACTAGTAGATACAAAGCACCAAGATTTGGACATGCAGATTGTGGAATCCATGAAGAATCCCGCTTCATGATCCACCGCCAGATTTGACTTTTGTGCTCCATCACGCATGACAAACGCTTCCCGTCGTCCATCCAACAATATCTCAAACCGTCGCCAGAAGGGAGAAAGAGGGAGAAGGAAGGTGTACAAGACAAAGGAAATCCGTGTCAGTGATGACTTTGATGATAATGATGATACTGAGAAAGGTATATAGGAATCACAGATCCTCTGAACTCCCGCCGAGGGTGGCTCACTTTTCCGTCTGGGCTACTTGTCGCAAAAGATCGCCCATTTCTAGTAAACAAACACAGGTTGATACCCACCTGACGTACCCATCAACCCTTCCGTGACGCCGTCTCTCAGACGCCAAGCCAAACAAGTTTGAGCAAGATCGAAACACCACCGTTTATAGGTGGAGAGAAAATAGACAACATGACAAAGAAGGAAAGGGCAAAATGGAAGAGAAAGAATCGAGCATACAGAGTCGTAAATGCATGAGTCCCTGTCCAGTCACGCTCAGGGTAGGCAGGACAGCCTTCGCCGGGTCTTTAATGAACAACAAGATCAAGACGCGACGTTCAAACAACACCCCTCAGCCTCTGCTTGCGAGATAGCCAGTCACCGAGCATGTTGTCGAGTTGCTATTGAAATGTCACGTTAGAAACGGCGAACCCGTGAAAAGGGTCAAGTGATTATGTAAACTTACCGTCGTGATTTCCGCCAGCTTGGCATTCTGCTCCTTGAACAAAGAGCCGGCAATGGGGTGATCTGGCCCAACAGGTTCAACATCCGACTTGTCGTAGACCACAACAAGCATATCCCGAATTTCAGATCCCGAGTCGAAGAAGGCACGAAGACTAGCATCATTCCAGGTGGGCGTACTAGCTGAAATTGGTGAAGGAGGAGCAATATCCTTATCATCCGCTCCATCGTCGTCATGCTCGACCAATTCTGGTGACGGCGTAAGTCTTTCCGAGGATCGATCCTCTTGGCTGGACGAGTCAGCCATCAGAGGAGGTGTTGGCGAAGTCCGGTGATCGGCTTGAATAGGTGAAACATGTACAGGAGACTCAGACAAGCGCTCAACATGGTGCTGATGTGACGGTGCCACACTAGAAGCCGCAGGCTGTGCGGCAGCGAACGGGTTGCGAGAACTTGGCGCAGACCGCTCTTGCTGCCTCTGTGGTTCTTGAGCCATTGCTGGTGGGTGTTGTACAGAACTCGTGTTGTCATCTTCGTCAGAATCCAAGTCCATCTCTGAACGGGGTTGAGCCTGGGTGATCTGCTGAGCGCCAGCATCCCGAGATTGACCCACGCTCTCCTGCTTCCTGGAAGTTTCTGGCGACTGTTCCCCCTTTCCCTCCTTGCTCTTGCGGGCCTCCTTCTGTCGTATCGGTTGATTCCGGTTCTACCAGGCGCATTGTTGAAGGAGGAGTGTTTGAGACATTGTTAATTCTTCCAGCAGACATGTAGTTTGGCGCATCCATGCTGGTATCCTTGAGTATCCCAGCAATGGGCTTTGCGTTGGTGGGTTGTGACTTTTGCAGCTTGCTCGGATTTCGTTGCGGGGCTGGTGCTCTCTCTGGCGATGAAAGGATATTGCGCTCGTCCTCCTCATGTTCCCTTTCGTGGCCGTCAGCATCCTGAGACGATTTCCCATGAGCCTCATCATCTTCGTGTCCCTTCCTCTTGTCTTTTCGGGAGAAGAAGCTTCGGATTGCACTAGGCTTCTTCGAGTTCTCCTTCTCCTTCCTCTTCTTGTCGTCTTTATTGGTCGGGCTATCTTTCTCGAGTTTATCCAAGCTTGGACGCTGCTTCAGCTGGACTGAATCACTGGATGTCCTCGTACCGCTATCATCGCGGAGAAGGTTAGGAGTAAGGGTGATCTTCTTGGTTTCAACATCGTCCTTGAAGAAGGAATCCCGAACATTTCCGTCGCTGGACTTCTTAGGCCCCTCGCTCGGTTTTGACTCGAAGATTTCTTCGCTATTGGGTCGGCCTACGCTGTCTTCACTCGTTTTGCTGTCCTTTGTTTGCAGTGGCCTGGGCTTGAGAGGCTCAACCTTTGCTGTCTCGTCCTCGGGGTCTGTGTCGGGTTCTATTTGCTGAACATTCGACTGCTGCGTTTTCTGTGCCTGTTGCTGCTGACCGAAATATTCCGCTTCTAGGTCTTCTTCTTCCGTGGAGTAATCAATATCAGAATAATCAACGTATGTGGGAGCAGCAAACTGGACCGTCTTTCGCTTCGTTCGTTTCATCGCAGACATTATGGCGTTCCGGGGCTTGTCAGCTTGATCCCCAAGCATAGTCGCAGATAGCTAGGCACTGTCAGCACATAGATCTAGTTTGGGAAGACACTGGAGGGTTGATCATACGTCTATGTTTCGGTGTTTATTCAAACGTGCCAATCTCTCCGTTGGCGTCTCGATATGTTCGGCGGGAAGGTAGCCTACAAAACAGATCAAATTAGCCTACAGCAAACCGATGTGTCGGCCACCCAGGGAAGACCTACCAATGCTGCTGTCTTTCACGACGCGCACTAACCACCAGTAGCTGTTGCTGTCGTCGAGCAAAACCATGGTGTCGCCTTTTGTCGCGTTGGCCTGCCCTTCAACAGTAGCGACAAAGGTGTGGAGGGCGTAAACAAACTCGAAATCGATGTCCTCTGTATCTTGTAAGCACTCTCCACCCCAGCCGGATTCGAGAAAGTGTTCGTCGTGAACGTGTGAGAAATCGCCATCATCATCTGTGTCGGACTCGTATGGTATCGTCAACCCCGGACTGTCGCCATCCGACCCTAAAGGTTCCATTGATGTTCGAGTGTCTGCCATTCCCGAGGTATTCCTTGTTGAGGCAAAAGCGCTAGTTTTATGGCCATTCCGCCTAGACGAGTATTCCGAAAGCAACCAGCGGGAGTTCTAGTCCTCATCTTGCGGCTCGGTCGTTGTCTCTTTGCGGCTTAGATCCGTCTCCTCCTCTAGAAAGGCGTGCGCTTCGGCTCCTGGCGTCGGACCATCCGTTAGGTCGAAGTTCCCATACTTACCCTCATGATGATGATGGCGACGAAGAGTGTTGGGGGAATTCTCGCCCATGGCTCGGGTCGAATGACCAGGAGGTAAGTAATCAGGACGGTCGAGGTACGGAGAGGAAGACCTCACGTCGCTGACTGGAGACGAAGCCGACGAACTTTCGGGTGAGCCTCGGGGGAGGGTAAGGCCGTCGCAACTGTGTGACGGCAGGGGTGGAAGAGTAAAGGAAGACCCACCGTCTTCTATCGAAGGCGAGCTGGAGATCTTGTCCATTCCGTCATCGTCGTCATCAATCTCGTTATCGTCGTCGACGTCTTCGTCAAAGTCGGAATGCCCGCCATTCTGCGCAACGGCCAAGGGATCCTGGTGCGAGCGGGAAGCCATATTGTTTCCACCGCCGTTATAGAGCTGGCTTTGTAGGTTGTCGTGAGCCTGGCCAATGCCTGTTTCGTGATCGTGATCGTCAGCGTAGTGATGGAGGCCACCAGTCTCGCCTCCGGACCAAGAGACTCGGGGGCTATGAATCGATTCCTCAGCCGTCTCCGCCGCAACTTCACGAAGGGTCTCAGCCTGGTGCGGAGCCAGGGATCCGTGGTTGTATGTCGAGCTATGGTAGCCTTGGGTAGAGTGCGCGCCGCGGCCTTGGAGGTCGATCGTGTCTGGATGGAATAGGAGACAGGAGTTAGTAACTGAAGGAGATGGATAAGGTATGTATGTAACCAAGAAGAGTGTATGTCTGAGAAGAAACGCAAGGCCCTTGCAGCCACGAGAAGCCAGGGTCTGGACAGTTTGCGACTAGGGGACGGGGGTGTGTGTGAGAGCGAGATGAAGAGAACGGGGCATACCGGCACGAATAATCTCGGGTCTTGTCATGTTGATGCAAGCGGCTCTGCAAGCGCCCCTTCAATAGTTGCACGTTGATTCCTGTTAAGTTCACAACAGTGGCTAGGGCCCTGGTGGCTCAAGATGTGAGACAAGGAGACTGAGGTAGTTACACCGTCAGTCTTAATCGGTCATGAAGCAGCTAGTATCTCTAACGCTGTCTCTTCTAGCCCTATACGTCTAACAACTGGTGAGCCTGGCGCGCGCTCCGCGTCAAGCGCCTTTTTGCAAACAAACAAGGCTGTTGAACGATATACACGGGATGTTGGTACTGCTGTCGCGGCTACGACCTGCAGGTGGTTCCAAGTAGTCTACAAAGAAGCGCTGTGTCGGTTCTGCGCAATGCAATGTCTTGATGTAGGACGGGTGGAAGCAGGTGCTTTAATTGGGTTGGCGATGTCGCAGCTTGCAACGAAACCGATGCGATTGATGGTAAAAGGAGAGCCAGCGAGTGGATGGAATAGAGTGTCGAGAAATGAAGGACAAGGGGTGACTGCTGAAACAAGTAAGATGACGGATACCGGTAGTAGGCGACAGCCTCGAAGCTGGGCGGACACGGTGCCGAGCTGAGGCCTGAGGGTAGTTGTACCGAGAAAATAACAGAGTGCCGTTATGCGAAAAGACGAAAAAGCGAACAACAATGGGCGTTACACAGGTGGTCGGGTCGATAAAAAGAGGGTCCTGGTCCTGGTCCTGGTGGAACGAAAGGAGGCGGTGATGAAGGAAGTTGGAAGTATTGAATGATGGATGGGAAAGTTGAGGTCGTTGTTGGATTGACAATTTCCAAGTTACCCGTTGGTGTTGGAAAAATAGGACAAAATCGGATTTGGCTCCAGGGGGAAGAAACCCGGATGCTCCTCTACCGATGTAAGGTACCCTCTAGAGGATATGTAACGAGATAAAAAAGTGTTGATGGGCCGGGGATCTAGCCTGACCGGGATAAGTTGGGGTTGACGAGTAAAATTAGGCTTTGGTTTTAAAACCGATTGCGGCGCAAGAAGAAGATTTGGGCACTTCAAGAGGGAGTGGCAATTGTATCTGTTATGGCTCTTGCTATATGCCTTTTTACTTTTAGAGGTCGTCAACCTGAGAAAGGTGTAATCACGGCACATGTTCGTTGATGCCCAGAAGATGGTAATGATTCGGAAACAAGAGGAATGGAAAGTACAAGGCTGTGTACCTGCCTGAAAATCAAAATAATCCCCGCCCGTCGCTGGGGCCACGCCGCGCCAGGGCGGCAGCCCAACTCCCAGGCACAGAAGGGCCCCGTCAGCACCTGCAGCGAAGCACGGACAGCTGGGAGGCCTGGAGTCGCTGGGGATTTGGACTTGAAACAGCGCGTTTTCCGCCAGGGGCTTCCCGGTTCAAATGCTGCCCTCCACTCGCGGGTGGGGTTTCATTGAACTTCCATCGGTGCCGTCTGACGTCCCAACTCGCAAGGTCCAAACAACATTGTGGCCGGGACGTTAACCACCTAAGATTAGGTATGTCTCGCTACCATATTCACCAAGTTTGTCTTACACACGACATGCCATTTGAGTCTCGATATGTTGTTATTTCACTTTTCTTGATATGGTGATGCTGACATCCTTCACGTGCTCGGTATAGGGACAAACTCTTAGGTCGCTGCTATCAGCCATGCCCCTGGGCTAATCGGCAATATCGTATTCCGGCCGCGAGGTGCCTGACCTTCCTACACTAGTTATAGGACCGAAACCACACAGTTCCGCAGAATCCTCACCAATCGAAATAGCGAGAAACGAGGAGTACAGAGCAGAGATCTTTTTGGATAGACAATATCGAACTTACTCCGGCGTCCGGGCCCGGCCTTGTCGGCTGTTTTCCACTCCAGCCATGTTCCCCATCCAAAGTTGCCCTTACCCATGGGCTGGAGCAACTCGCAACCGGCCCCGCAACAGATTAGGGAAGCTTTAATGACTTGGATATTTCCAATCGCAGACAAAGGATCTACCTACTCTAAATAGATGGGCAATGCCTCCATCAGAAGCAGTAACCAACATCCCTGGCGACTATCGTTCAGGATGTCATTCTTGCACGCGTTTTAGGTCTTGCTAGACTTTAGAGCCTTGCCGACTACCATAGTAGTTCTACGCAGGAGATACTCCCAAAGAGCGTAAAGTGTCCAACCGCCACTCGTCTTGCCATCTACTGAAGATGAGGAGATAGTTAGCGAGGACTACCAACTACATAAAACCAGAATTCATTGGGTCACGACACAGCAAAACTTTACTGGCCGTTCATCCAAGCATGGGTACTGTAGAAGCTCGATGGATTTTGCCATGCCTGAATGCAATATCATGAGGTAGGAAACCTGCAAGCGGCCTGGTCTGTACAGTTGACGCGATTCCCTACGGTTATCCCAACGGTCCAACCACCTCTGCTAACTACGGCCTGGCTTGCACGTTGGCCCTTGGACTCTGAGAAGAACCAGCAAACTCGTGCCGAAGGCGAGCCTTCGTTGTTCACATCAGCATCACCAAGACGTGCTGTCGTGCATGACAGGCAGTTTGCAACCTTGTTCCCGCCGGGACGGTGACGCTAGCTTCGACCCCGTGGCCCCGAACACGCCGGCCTGATGGTGACTGGCCGGACGGCTGCCCAGACCTTTTCCCCACGAGGGACAAGCCTTTGCCAAGCAATTATGCCCCAGGCTGTCAACGGTGCTTGGCAGATCGTTGGGATGAAATCATGAAAGTTTTCTTCCTTCGGATCTTTGACTTAGATCCGAGGGTTGGGTATTGAATCCCTTCTTTTGGACTAAATAAAATCTGTGTTGGAACAGAGAGGAGTTTGGTACCCTTTTCATCATAAAGTGGTCTCTTTCGGGGCCTAGATATTGCAGTGTTCACACCATAGAACTGAGCCATGTGATAGCACGTACATGTTGTGTGAAATGAATATTGAAAGCAACCGCACGAAAAATAGCAGGAGACTGTGCTTGTACGGTCATCTCGACTGAGACGGGATGACTGAAATGCCGGGTCTCCTTCTGAAGCTCTCTCCCTTATGACAATGTCCTCGGCACAACATCATGATGATCATCGGCTCTTGCAAGCATCTCGCTGCCAGCGGTTCCACGTTGGGCACAAGCTTGAAGAGCTCCAGAAAGATGATCTGTCCTAGGAGCGGGGTAGAAATGCAAAGCTGTTTCCAACCCTTTCTGTAATGGTTCATGTGAGCCTGTTGAGCTTGACAGAAAGTGTGGTTTCTGCTCGTTTACTTTGAGGGTGGGTGTGTGTCCTGTTGATGGGTCTGGATCCGCCCCGCAAATCGTGATCGCGGACTGAGCCCGATTAGAAACACAGTGTGAAGAGCCGAAAGTTGCTAAGACAAGAACAGAAATCAGGAGGAGTGAGAGCCCTTCACTTTGATTCTTCTCTTCCGTACCACATGGATCGGTGTTACGATGCTGACTGTACGGACAGCTAGAGACGAGTCCTCATCTTGATCATACTAAGATCTGATCATGACATTTTGTTTGAGCATTCACACATGGAGGCAAGTCTGAGGGCTGAAGATGAAATGTGTGTGTGTTTCGTACATCGATCGCGACCGGACCATTTCAGTAGGTACCTCGGCACTAGAACAAAAGTGTGAAAGACCAAAGTACCGTTAAGGAGACGCTAATCTCCAGCCGAAAACTACACTACATCTGGAACACTCCACACTCTACCTCCAGTTATGTACAGTACCTCGCTGCTCAACACCATATTGCTCGTTTGATCAGTACAATGTCCTTGGTATGTAGTTGTGAGTTGAGCAATCGAGTAGAGGACAGAAGAAAACGTTTCCACTTTTGAACAAAATCCACAGCCTGACAAAGGTGAAGCACGGGACTCACGATGCCGACGGGGCTCCAGTTCACCTTTTTAGTGGCGGCCCCATCCACTGATCTGCCCTGGCTGAGTCTGGGAACACCCTGCGGCGCGTCTCTGCAAGAGTGCAGTGAGCCGAGATGAACAGTGCACATCCAGTTTGGGATACGGTATTGGTATCCCCGCTTTACAGGAGCGTTGGAGACAAGTTAAGCCCGCTACCTTAGGTATATCGTGAAGAAGGTGCCATTCCTACCGCAATTCCCCGGCCCTCATTCCCTTGAATGCGAAGCGAAGAGACGGGAACCACCGAGCTCCAAACGCTCTTGAGACACACTGCAGAATACACCACCAATCTTTTCTATCCTGACCGGAAACGTTCAACTTGACAACTTCCTGTCCGCAGATCCCGCCGAGCAACATACGAACGTCAATCTTCAGAGCCAGAATTACTCTTCACCCTTGACCGTGCCAGTTTAACGCCGCGACGCAATTTTCGTCTCTTGGCCTGCCAATTGCGACTCGATCCCTATTTTCCGGCAGTCCAGGCCACCTACGATCACGATTTCTCGGCGCCCAGCCTCTGAAGCTCAGTGCCTTCAGAACACTCTTCGTGCCCTACTTCGCTATCACGATATCATACTTGTCGCGAATAGCGATCGAACTACATGCCGGGGAATTGATTGCGAACTATCCGAAGGACAATCAAGCGGGGGAGATCGGAGAGGGGCCTCCGTGAGGATAATTGAACGACACCCCGACGGGCAAACACTGGATTTCGGCAATACCTTAGAGCCACATTTGCGACATCAACTCCGACAACTGAAAACAACGAGCACCGGCCACAGTCACGACCACGGCGTTGCGCGCGCGTCAGATGCGACACCGAGGAGGTCATACTTCATGGCGATTGAGGCATAGATAGCCAGGAGGCAGAAGGATTGCCAAAGCGCATTCCCAGCGGTTTTTTGCCGCCACCAGCGACCGATCCAGCATGGAACCGCGACAGCTCTTCAGCGACTCGGCGGCCGATCCGACATCTACCGCCGAGGCCGTCAACAATGCTCTCAACTGCGCTTCTTTCAACCTCCCTGAAGGAGGCATTCTCCAACTCCCGAACGGCGAGATCATTACGCTTAGCGGTCCGGCCGCCTTCAACCCACCATCCTGCGGCCTCGCCATTCGTTCCGTTCCGAACATCATTGCTGGGACTGGAGGTAGCACCATGGGACTGAAGACAGATGACGACGCCCACTTTTCGGACTTCCACGATCCGTTCTATGCGTCAACATTTCCGCAAGTCTACGCTCTTGCGGCGACGACAATTATTGCATATACCTTGGTCATCATGCTCTTTATCACACCCAGGTCCTTTCTCGATGGCGGAGTGGTTGTTCTGGGGCGCAAGGGGTTCACGAACGGCGGGGGCGGCACCAGTATTGGCGGACGTCCTTGGTTGCAGAAAATTGCAGCTCTCACGGTCGCCATCTCACTGACCATCGCCAACGCAGCTACGTTTCGCGTCGCCGAGCTCCAGTATTCCTGGGGGACCCAAAATGCCACGCAACTACAGGAAGATGTTCTTGGTGGGACCGAGCTCAAAGTCATCCGCATCATATCCAACACTTTCCTATGGCTCGCCCAAGCGCAAACCCTAATTCGCCTCTTCCCACGCCAGAGAGAAAAGGTGATTATCAAATGGACGGCATTTGCACTCATCACGCTAGATGTCGTTTTTCAATGTCTCAACAGCTTCAAGTATCAGGGCTCCGACGTCACACGGCCCAAGTTCACTGAGGCCGTGCCGGCCCTCAGTTATCTGTTCGCCCTCGCCCTAGGGGTCCTCTATGCTGCTTGGGTCTTATATTACTCACTGATGAAGAAGCGGTACGCGTTTTACCACCCCTTGATGAAGAACATGATCCTCGTGGCTTTCCTGTCTGTGCTCTCCGTTCTCGTTCCTGTTGTATTCTTCATCCTCGATATGTCGAAAACCGGTATTGCGGGCTGGGGAGACTACGTCAGATGGGTGGGGGCAGCAGCAGCTAGTGTCATTGTGTGGGAGTGGGTAGAAAGAATCGAGGCATTGGAAAGGGAAGAAAAGAAGGATGGAATATGAAGAGAAGTGTTCGATGGAGACGAGATGCTCGAGGCCTCACAGTCGGAACATGCCTGGCCAAAGAGGAGGAGAAAGGGTTCGGGCGGTTCGGATTCGCAAGACACGGAAAGTGGCAGGGGTGAAAAGGGCGGCGGATCAAGTCTATCGAGGTTCGGTGCCTGGCCGAGGATTAGCAACTTGACATCAAAAGACCGGGCGGAGCACGGCTCCAGGAACGAGACCAACCGGGAAAGTTCACCGGTGGCGGATACTACAAACGACGACGAGAGGCCACGGTTCCGACCACCGCCGTTATGGCCCGCGCGACCCACTCCGGCAGCGACACCAGTGAGTCGGACGGACACTACTAGCGCTGCTAGTACTATATACGCTGTCAGGTACAATACCATGACAGAACCAACAATGTATGGAACGCCACCGCCGATACACAGTATGGGGCGTTTGTCTAGAAGCGAGAGTCGTGGTTCCAGTCGACATGGAGACTACGGGAGCACGAGTCCTGGCTCGACTCCTGCTCAAGACGCCCGCCCAACGCAAAATTCCCACACCCAAACGGAAACACCATCGGCAGGAAGTAGGTGGCACGCACTTGTCCCGGCGACTTCGAGCAGGGATTTCGTGCCGCGCTCGGAGTCACGAGGAAGCAGCAAGATGCAGCGCGATGAGAATTCCCGATGGGATCTGCGAGCTAGAGTCGAGGAGTTCGCGGCTACCCAGGCAGAGAAGCTGCGTGAGAAATTCCGCCCGACGCTGGATACCAACAACTTGCCGGTAACCGTCATCCCGGCGCCGCCGCGAAGAGGCGCCGCCCTCGCCCAGCTTCGTGAGGATGAAGAGCTTAATATTTCATCAAGGGAGGGAGTGGCCAGGGAAGAGAGCTGGAATAGCAATGCTTCGGGAATGGTGACTGCGGGAGAGGCTACACAATCACCAACACAAGCCTCCTTTCCTCCACCACGTGCGGCAAGCAGCAGCATGAGCACAGCGCAAACGTCGCGGCCACGGCTCAGTCCAATCGTCACTCAGGGTTCTTTTACCAACAACAGCCGGTATAACCACCTGCCAGTGACGGTAATACCAGCTCCACTACGTCAGGACTCGGCCAGAGCACCATCGCAGCCGCAGTCACCGTCGCCAGTTGCTCTCGGTAAGCAACCGGCGAGAAGCGACTCGACAACGACACCGTCTCCTTGACATGACATGGGTTGGTGCACGCGTTTCCATCTACCACTGGGCATTTTTGGTTGGGGTTGTTTCCATGTCCCTTTTCTATAGGAGATACCACTTGTTATTTGCACTGTTTTGGCGTCTGGCGAGGATCAAAAAAAGGGCGTTCAGGTTGGGAGGCTTTGGGGTGAGGCTATTACGCTTTTATTTATGCATTGTCATCATCACCATGGGATACCCGGGACCCGCGGAAGAGGGAAAGGGAGAGGATATATCTATTGTTATATGTCTGAATGTACATTATATGTAATTCAATCTTTCGGGATGTTCATCATGATCTTAATCTTTGGCTTGAAGGCATTTTGAGATACCCAGCCTCCATGAAGGATACATAAATTTCACAAGTATTAAATTGCCTTGTCAGGTTTTGTCTTCTATTCGTCATGCGCCTTGGCGATGTCAACAAATAGAGTTGTTTAAGGGCGCCGGTGGCGATGGCCTGACGTTAACTGAAATCCCTTTTGTAAGTGTGAGCCCCTTTTCTACGGACAACCCACTTGCTACAGAATAATGGCGGGCATACATTCTGTTCGTACCGCTCCTTGCCCTATAATCTGTAGTGGCTCCTCCTGCAGCCAGTCAGCAGGGTCCCGCGGACTCGGCAGCTTTTTTGGAGTTGCACTCCCGTCCCCATCGGGACCTGCAGAAGTCCCGTCTCCCGACTCCGTCAGAGAGTTCAGTTGTCCAGTCCTGGGGCTGCCTCGGGTCTCCAAAGACAAAAACCCCTGATCATCATCATCACCGTCGAACTTCTCCAGTGTCCTCACACAAAGAGGCCAATGAATGTTCGTTTTGACGAAACTAATAGCGAGTAAGCTTGGCGTTTGACCTGATGGGGTAGGGCAGAAGAAAACTTTGGAGAGTTTTTGCAAACTTTTGCAGACGATGATGGACTCTGGTTGTGACACTTTACCCTTCCCGCATATTCTTCAATCTTCACTTCATCGACTTCTCACCTCAAATCCAGAAGCATTGGATGGGTTGTTTGGGTCCTCCTGGTCACGGCGGTGGAAACCAGGGTCCAGTTAAGCGGTCTGTGGGGTCGGCCGCAGCGGAAGACCCGAACAGGGGAAATTTGGTTGTTGTCGGGACAAGTTGAAGCATTTTAGCGTCATGTCAGCCCCCTAGTCCTGCGTTTATGGAGTCCATCCCGGGCGCTGCGCTGAGGCCGTTCGAGATGTGGTCCCTACCGCCTTCCGTCCCGCGGCTGAGCGATACGTGGGTGTGTAGCTCTGGACCCCCCCGTCTCGACTGGTGAGGCCACTCCCCCTCCAAAAAGAAAAAGACCATCTTCAAAATCTCGGAATTGCCCCCTTGCAACACTTCTCTTGCTCTGTTTTCCAAACATTCTTCACAAGAAACTCTTTTTACTTCTTTTTACGGTGCTGGTTTTAGCATTCACTTGAGTGCTTGCAGCTTACTTGGCTGCTGTAATCCTAGACCGCAGCGGGACCTCTTTCCGTTACCAGAAAGGGGCGCACCAGAAGCAGCAGCAGCAGCAGCAGCAGCTTACTCTTATTCTTGTTTAATTCCCCCCCAAGTTTCACGGGACTCGGTCACGCCCCTCCTTTTTCTCTTTTTTTTTCTTAACCAGCCAGTGTAACAAGCGCACGCGAACTCCTACTCCTTCGGCGTTTTATCGTGACATCTGATTCGGCGCAAACCAAGAGACAGTCAGCGTCTGACGGCGGCTTTGAAGGAGAACAGAAAAGCAGCAACGACCTTTGGATACTTAGAATCTCTCGAGTCTTGCGCTTCGTCTTCCATCCCGGAGGGTGTCCGACTGACCAGCCATCCACCACTACCATCGCTACCTACCCACCGCCCACAATGGCGCCCTCGACAAAATCAGAACCATTCCCGGAGCTCAGCTCGGCCGCAGACCGCCAATTACACTCCGAGGCCACCGCAGCCCGTCGCCGCAGAAAGTCGAGCGGCCTTGGACAAGCCTTGCGCGTCGGTGACACTGGCGCACCCGCCTTGGCCACCAGTCTTGCCCTCTCACAGAAGGTAAGAAACCTGCCCCCTCTTGAACACCAGGCCACAGACGGAAGGACAAACGGGGCAGCAAGAAGAGAAGCTGACCGCAGTTGTGTCATACAGGATTCCAAAGATGTCGCCGCAGCACCAGGCAAGAAATTCTCCAAGCGGCGCAAGGCGCGCTCCCTCCTCCGCCGCGCCAGAAACTATGCGATCAAGCACACCTGGGCCTTGCCCTTGGCCCTCCTGATGGCCTTCCTAGCTCTCTACGCCATCAACCCGACCGAGAGCAACCCGATCCACCACTTCATCTTCCTCTCGTACAAGCTGCCGACCTCGAGCGCCGATGAGATCCCGCAATATGGCAAGGGTCTCTGGGATATCGCCTTTGTATCCTTCTATACCGTCGTTCTATCCTTCACCCGCGAGTTCATCATGCAGGAGGTTCTGCGCCCCATGGCGCGCTGGGCCGGCCTCAAGTCGCGCGGAAAGCAGGCTCGCTACATGGAGCAAATGTACACGGCCCTCTACTTTGGAATCATGGGACCCGTTGGCATGTACGTCATGAGCCACACGCCCGTCTGGTACTTCAACACCGTCGGCATGTACGAGAACTTCCCGCACAAGACCCATATGGCTTGTTTCAAGTTCTACTACCTCTTCCAGGCCGCCTACTGGGCGCAGCAGGCCATTGTGCTTCTCCTGGGAATGGAAAAGCCCCGCAAGGACTTCAGGGAGTTGGTCTGCCATCACATTGTCAGCTTGGCCTTGATCGGCTTGAGCTACCGCTTCCACTTCACCTACATTGGTCTTGCCGTGTACATCACCCACGATATCAGTGATTTCTTCTTGGCGGTAAGTCTTGATCCAGAATTACCCCGTTGTGAGTCAGAGCCTGCGCAGCATTTGCTAACTTCGCCCGTGTTTTTCTCTCCAGACATCCAAGACTCTTAACTATCTCGACCACGTGCTCACCGGGCCTTACTACTTCACCTTCATGTGCGTGTGGATCTACCTGCGCCACTACCTCAACCTGCGCATTCTCTGGAGTCTGTTCACCGAGTTTAAGACCGTCGGCCCTTACGAGCTCAACTGGGAGACTCAGCAGTACAAGTGCAACATCTCCTTCGTCATCACGCTCGCCCTGCTCGGGTCCCTCCAGGCCCTCAACCTTTTCTGGCTGTTCTTCATCATCCGCATCGCCTACCGCTTCGTTGTACATAAGGTTGCCAAGGATGACCGCAGCGATGATGAGTCAGAGTTGGAAGAAGAGGTCGGAAACCAGAATGATGTCAAGTCTTTTGACTAAGGCTCTATCTACCACCAAGAAGAGGTAGATTGGTCGGGGCAGTGATGAGCATCTTTCTGTTATCATTACCGATATGAGCATGTATTAGAGTCAACTATAATGGGAGGTTTTAGGGTGGTGATGTATGATGTTCAGTTATATCTATCTACTTACTGTACGGCGGGATTTTTTATGTGTTTATCCCATCACGTTTGTGTATGAAAAATAAGAGGTGGGAATGGCAACGACGAGGTATATCATCTGTAACCGAAAGGAAACGAACCACAGACCCTATGAATATTTGGGAAGGCTTGGGAAGGCTTGGGAAAGGAAATAGAAAGGGCTGGGAGAGAAAAGCATCAAAGAAAGAAAGAAGGGATACTTGCACATCTTGTGTGCAGGCAAAAAAAAAAAGTTAATAAGAATAATTGATCAGTACTTGGTCATGCCTTCCTTTCCCTGGCAAGCGGCACCTCTTGGGCATTGCCACATTTGTGCAAAGGACAAATAGGGGTAAGTAAATAAACAACGTGGGAACGGTTTACGTAACGCATAGTGCCCGTGTGGAGAGGTATTAGCAATAACACAGACTTCCAAGGCTTCCAAGAAGCACATTACCACAATGCTCAGTCACAGAATCGGCCCAAGACTTAAGTGACACATTACAATCTGGACCTCATGACTTCGTCATGTTCGAGAATGTCGGTCCATCCGGACTGAATATTTGGGCCGTCCGTATCGATATATATCCACCTTCTTACCGACTTTTAAGAATTTGATCCATCCACACATCTGCGCTCACCCGATGACACTCATGGTCTTCTACATCGAACTCCGACTTCAAACACCGAATGTCGGGCGTGATGATCAATTATTCAGCAATCCTTCTCTTGACACGAACGGGTAACGGTGAGGTGGCTGGTTGGTGAATAACGAACGAAATATGGCATCGAAACGGTCACATACCTTATGCTGTGAATGATTCACCAAGGGGGACAGGAAGGGGATTGCCAACGAAAGAGACAAATGATGAGCGGTAACGCGTATGTATACGTTCCACTCCTAAACTAGCTGTTATTGAAAGATTAAGTCCAGTACCTAATTTAACCAGCCAGTGCCACCCAAGAAGATCGATCAAACGAGCAGAGACCACCGATCCAGCGACGTGCAAGACCCGGAGCTAGAACGAACGAACGCCAATAGAATCCCTCACGATTCGTGTCACGAATCAACAGCAACAGCGAAACGAGGAGCAGCAGCAAGCAAACATGGCTCCAATTCGTGACGGCTCCCCGCCGCCTCCTGGCTATCAACCACCAGCTTTGGAAACTGGGACTTTGACCATCAAGACCAAGACGAAGTTTCTCTCTCCCAAGTCAAGGTCCTCCTCTCCCAAGTCCTCGTCTTCCTCAGATCGCTGCTCAATACACTCGTGGTCGTCGTCGTCGTCATCGTCGTCAGCAACAACGAGTCCACCATGGACAAAAACGAACAAGAAGAGGGACTTGAGTATGTTGAGGGATAACATTACAGGGTACAGGTCTGGAAGCGGAAGCAGGAGCAGGAGCACGCCAACGACAACAACAACAACAACGAGAATTCCGTACGAGGGATGGTCGAAGCAGTCGCCTAGCTTGGAGGATATTTTGAGAGTGTTTCCGGGGAATGCGTTGTGAGGTGAAGAGAGAGGGAGTGTATGCGAAAGACAGAGAAGAGAAGGTGAAGGTGGTTACTTTTGGGACGGGACACTAGGAAGAAAATAATGAGAGCCCGAGAGAGGTGAAAAGATATGCTGATATTGATTAATCAAGGGTAGATTAATCAAGGGTAGATAGAACACACATCATAGAGATTGACAGGGGACATGCAAAAAACGGGTTTAATACGTAGTTGTAAATAGAGGGTAAAATTACAGATATTCGTTAATACGGCGAGCTTATTCCATTTCACAGGTCTTGCAAGACATCACACCAGGTTTGTACATCAAGGTTTTCCATAGAAAGTTTTCCACCCCACGAATTTTCTTGCTTATTACTGATTTCGTGATGAAGGCGGACGGAATGCTTTAAACCCCAACACTTGGACAGTTAGGTTCTCATGAGTTTTCGACCGTATCTCCATTCAGACAGACACCAGTGTCAATTGTGCCCATGCTGAGGAAAACGAAGCTTCGTTTTATGTTCTTCGTATCCCCATAATAGTGTACTTTATTGCACATCAGTCTGCAAATCAGCGACCATCACCGGGCGGGCAGTCACGGGTGTAGGGTAAGGTAAGGTAGGTAAGATTGACAGATGGACAGATTGACGCTCGAACGGGGCAAGTGCCCGAGTAATGAGAGACATCCATCACGATCACAGGGCGAGAACGGGATACAGTACCTAGGTAGACTTGGAGGGTGACTGACAAGAAAAGGCTTGAGTTTGAGTCTTCGACTGACATGCCTTCCCGGAGGGACGGATACCGAGATCGATCGAATGGAAGACAAACCGATAATCGTGATGCTTCTTCTCTCAGCTGGGTCTTCGTTTTCGGGCAGTTAGTCTAGGTCTACTATGCTTGACTCTCCAATCGGCAGTTCCGCGGTTCGTTTATGTGTTCGTTCCATTGGATTTGGATTTCCTTTCCACATTTTCGTGGTGGAATGAATGGAGTTCCATGAATTGATCGGCTGGCCAGACCCAACTCTTTCACTGCCAAACATGGAACTTGCATCTTACATGTTAGACTTGTAGACGTGCCTGTTGCCAGGGCTTCAAGCAGGAAAATTTTGTCCAATAAGGGAAGTGACGTTGTAGATCTCTTTTTTTTCGCTGACCCCTCCTGCACCTCCTCCTGCCCTCCATCCGCACGACCGCACTGCACCTTTCAGTTGCTGAACAATCATCAAGAAATTTCGATAGTTTCAGCAGGGAAGTTACGACTTCGGCACTCACGATCACATTCGATACGTACCTATTCAATTGGCAGCCGAGCAGGATTTCAAAGCCTCCACGGACTCGCTTCGCCTCGCCAATCAGAATTGATGACAACGGCAGCGGCAGCGGCAACGGCAATAGTACCAACGGGAAGCGGAAGCAGAAGTGGAAGAGGTTTGCAAGAAGATCAAGAGATCGTGATATCTTTCTTGGCTTTTGTTTCCCCTCATTGTTGCCGAAGAAGGAAAAAAAACAAAAAAAACACCAGAAAAAAAAAGGGACAGAAAAGTATTCAGGCTGTGTTGTGTTGTGTGATCGGTTAAACTGTCTCGATCAGGAAGGGGAGCGAGGGATTGCATGTGGCATAGTACACATAAGAATGTAGTAAGAATTGAGGGGAAAGGGGGGGGGGGGGGGGGAGACATGCCCCGAAAGGCAGGCAAGGCAGGCAAGGCAGGGAAAAGCTATCCCGGGAGGTCGGTAGCGAAAAGTAAGATAAATCACGGGAGCAAGGAAAATGGTGGGCAGCTGGATGGTAGGCTCTCGGAGTGGAATGGAAGTTGGTAAGATGGTGCAGTGGGGAGTTAAAGTCTTGGAAAAGCTGACGGGTTATTCGTTCACTTTGTCAGATTCCTGTACTTTTCAGTTGTTTCTCCATATGCTTTGTGGTGTTGTTTCTTTGCTTGATGAAATACGTTGTAGAGGTGCTGTCTTCCATATAACGTGTATGTTTCCGAATGTTGTCATTACAAGGCAGAGGCAGGTATCCGACCAAACCCACTCATATGTAAGGGGGCCCCCACGCTGGATAAGCAAGCAATTGTTTGATCTCTCGGAGACAAAGCCATTGTTGGCGTTGATAGGTGACTGGCAAAGGTCCATCCATAGGCCTGCTGATAATGGTGTTTTATATGGAAACGGACATGTGAGACAAGCAAGGAAGAAGGACTGGATGACGAGAACGGGAAGAGATCCAAAAGGTCAGTTTTTCCTGGGTCGTTGATATCTCTTACTGTACCCCAGACATTCGGTAAAGGAAAAAGCAAAGCGGCAGCTGCCGTTGTCAGAACAGGTATGATGAAATACAATATGTAGCATACTAAATCGTAACACTGGCTGGACTTGGACAGGACTGGGGACTGGGGATGGGGTGGGTGTTGCTAAACATGAACAAGGAAAACTTTCCCGGGATGCTTAATGCTATGCATCGGGGAAAGGCATATCGTTCATCCCCAGATGGCAAACTCGGCCGAAACTAGTATGTGGCTACGGTGGTGATAGCATGTAGTGGTATATATATGCATGTGCTTTCAAACCTGGAGAGACTCGGAGGACGAGAATGGAATGGGAAAGTAAGAGTTGTGAACTCCCAAGTGTCCGGGTTTACTTGGCTAGACTGTACCTATTTCTATGGTAGAACCTTGGTGCCAACAGGAAAATCAGCAGTGGTGATAATAGTGATGGTGGAGCGGATGTCTGCTTCTCGCTCTCACAAGGTTTGATGTGTGGTTGCTTTTCGCGGCTGCTTCCCTTCTGGATGTGCCAACAGCCGCATCACGATAGTGCGGGGGATCATCACGGGACTTGCTAAAAGAGAGGCAAGGGGATCAGCGGCACATACCTGGAAGGTCCCATTGGGAGAAAGTCAAGGTTATTCTATTGGGCTGTTTTATTTTATTTTATACTATATATACGTACTGTGTATCACATGCTCGGTGAATGGTGGTATGAATGAATGGACGATAGATGGAACAAGAGTTATAGGAGTGTTATGTTGACAGAAGCACATTAGCTTCGAGAGTTGTCCGAGTTGGAAAGGCTTTTTCTCTTGGGAGAGTTTCAACCAGTATTCAACTTATGTTTTGTATAAGCTTCGCTGGGCATGCGGAAGAATGATGGCTGTAACACGACTGGTGCGATTGGATGTACACACTGAATGAACACGTAAATATCTACAAAGCCTTGCTTCGGGATGGGGCCTCATAATGGCCTAGTTGACGATTGATTTTCGATCATGAGGTTCCGCCGTTTCTTTTACCTGTCAGATGGCTTCCGGCCATGCGTTTTTGTCCAAGACAACGGGAACTGTTGAGGTTGAGTATG